ATTTTGGTGTTATAATTCATATTAATTTCGCGTTCTTACAATCTACGCTCTATTCGTTTGTACGAACAAATTTCGCGATCAAAATACGGCTTCGCTCTTATGACGCGCACTCATTTTACCGCGATTGAATGACGTGGAACCGAATTTTTCCTTAGTTTTCTTAAAAATTGGAAAAAATCGGAAAAACGAAAATATTTATGCGATAACGGTTTCTGATGAGCTCAGATATTTTCATTGTAATGGTTAACGTTTCAGGTATCTACGGTTATTTTTCAATGAATTACCAAGGCAAAACAAAAATCGAAATTAACAAAACCTTTATTGCGTTTATAACCTATATTTCCGAAGGATTTTCCTATTATTATTAAGAAAAATATAACGGAAAATAAAAAAGTTACCACCCCGACTTACAAACTAAATTCGAAATGCTATGAAAATGTTCCTATATTATTTTTTGATTGATGCGTGATTTCTGGTCGAAAAGTCGTTTAATACTTACCTACAATATGTATACCTATTGTTAAATATTATTCGTATAAGAAGCGATTCGCTTGTACAGTTATGTAGCCGTAAAACATACCCGACTTAACTACATATTATGCATTGATTCAAAAACTATCAGTCGAAAAAAAAACAAAGATAATTAGACTCTCGCATCGCGTTCCGAATTTGCGGTCAGTATAATGTTTCTTCACCGGGAAACTTACGTATTTACAGTAGGTGTATTATTACAATAATATATGATATTATGTTTAACCGCGGGTCCTAACCTCAAGCGTCTTTCGCCGGAGAGGCCAACCCTCCGAACCCAAATTCAGGATCAAAAGGCTTTTGCGTGCTGTCACGAATACCGCGGTAAAATGTTACCGCTGTATAGCCGCTCCCAACCGTGTGTTGTTCAAACGTGTCGATTTAATAACCGTTCGTTTAAATAGATTCTATGTTTTTTTTGTCCATTTTACCGACTGTATTCCAATTAACTCTCTACCAAACCAAATTCGGTAACAAACTCGGTAAACCGGTAAGTTTGCCTGTAAGCATAAGTCGTGTTTCCACCTCCTCCCCCCTTTTAATGCCGTGGCAACGCAAATATCAGTAACAAATAAAAGCGTTTAGAATGTTTAGAAAAATCGTCAAAAATCTAGAACAGATATAGTAATGCCGGACAAAAAAATTCTGTTAAGGTACGGTGTAAACAATTTGGAACATTTTTACTATAAGTGTTTTCCGAGAACAAAACCACATGTTAATAAAACTATAAACAGCTTCTTCGTGTTCTTTGCTACGTTCAGAATCTAGTACTGTTTAAACTATAACTGTATTCTACTTATCTACGTGAACAATTTCTATTAGTATCCTACTTGTCAGATTATTATTATTATTATTCATTTTTTTTTTTAACGGTATTAATTTTTGATAATACTTATCACTCCAACATCGTGCAGATTACCGTCACGAATAAAAACTGGGTTGAGTAAATTTGATTTTCAAAATTTAATTAGTTTTATACCAATAGTTAGGCATACCTTGAATCGGATTTTTTTTTTTAATGCCCGAGATTATTTCGCAGGGTAGGTACTTTGTAAATTAATACAATTTCATCACAGAATATTATTTTTATCAGATTAAGTTGGATTATTATGTTCGAATAATGTTTGCATTTCCGATTTCTATTCAGGGACAGAAAAAAAAATACGATACGCAAACAACAATTTTATCAAATACTTATATTATTTCTAAGGCCATATTTCAGTTTATCATTAGGGATGCAAACATTTGAATCAGGCTAATTCCCCCCCCCCAGAAACCTAAATACTTATATTATGTATACTTAACGGAAATTATAATAAATCATATTTAAACGCAAATTTTAATAAATAGAAACTTGGGAGCGTTGCCTATTTGTTATTTTTTATTATTATTATTATTATTAATATTTATAATTATTTAATGATATTTAAACTTTGAAAGTGGCACTCGGAAGCTGCGGGGCAAAGGTTCAATTCAATTATTATGAGGGATCCTAATTTTAACGCGATGCGGTACTTCACGTTTACGGTACAGAAATATTATCTGCAAGATTAATTTCTGACGAAATCAAATTCAAAATATTTACTCATGTTATATTATACTTTCAAATCATTGATCCTATACATTTACTTGTAATAAACATAATACTTTATACCTATAGTAAACTTTGGAAAAAAGAATTTAATCTATCCTACGCATGTTGTGAAACGCGTGAATCTTACAAATGAATACATAATTTGAAAAATAAAAAGTGTTAATACTGCTGATAGATATCTCACTGTTACGGAATGAAATTTAGAAAGGTTAGGATACTTCAAAAAGTTACAAGTATTTAATTTGTATCTGTACGCAGAATCAGAACTAATGAAATATGATTCTGAGCAAGGTTTGGTTACACATTATTTAAATGACTTAAATTTCACAATTTTAATTTAAATTGCTTATAATAAAATTTATAAAAGACGTCCAAGGATAATGGAGACGAGTACAGCCACTGTTATAGTTAATTTAATGTATAGCTGTAAGAAACAATAAACCATTGCTAACGAAAAAATATTTTGAGCGCAGTTTAGTTGATAGTGATGCTTTGTTAACAATGTATATGTCGTATCATGATAAAATAATTAAATAGGCATTATATATTTTCTTTAATATTGTACCGATTTTTCCGTTTTTCTTGAGTTTTTACCGGTTTCCCCCATGTTTTTCCTGGTTTTTCATCGAAAAGCGACCTCTTTAATGTACCTTCCAAATCAGATTTTCTTTCATAAAAAGTGTTATTATTTTAAATCGGAGCAAAATTGCTAGTAGAAAATTTTGCACAATGAATCGAGCGATATTTTTTGATTGAAATAGTCCGAGCGAGCGATGGCTTAGGTCTCTAAGTACACCAAAATTGCATTTGATTTTTCCTTGTTAAGTTAAAAGATAAATTTTATGTCCATATACTCGATACAAATATTTTTAACTAAATTTCAACAAAAATATTACAAATTTATAAAAAGCCAACAAATGAGTGAAATGTTTTGAACATTTTATCGCGTCTATAAAAGTCAAATATAAGTTTTCTGTCTAAATTTTAAGTCTCTACGAGTATTTTTAATTAAATTACAACAAATAATAAAATTGATAAAATAATAAAAGCATTAATTTCGTACATTTCTCGTTTTCCTTACGTTTTATCCTGGTTTTTCCCAAATATAATGAAAACCGTTTGAAAAACCAAAAAATGACCTTCTAAAAGTACCATCTGGACAATATTTCCTTTCAGAAATGGTGCCGCGCGTATATATCGAAGCAAGATTTCTAGTCGAACTTTTGTACAAAGTATAAAAAAAAATAAAAATCAATAAACATTTAGTAAAACCAATGCATTCTTCGCTAAACTCATAATCTAAACTAGAACATTAAGCTCAACTTTTTTTTTTCGATCATAATGTACAACTTATAATGAACCTCGTTTTAAATATTCGAACATTTGTGTTTAACCACACAATTTTACCTACATAATAGTTAAATAAACTGAAAAACTTTAAATGTCTATAAATAGATTAATAATCACCACAATGTTTTAAAAATTTTACAACGTCTAGAAAAGGCCATCATATAAAAAACTATATAAGAAAAGTAAAATCGAAAATATTGAAATTTGTTGCCGTAAATTTGTCCGTTTTTTCCAAGTTTTTCAAATTATAATAAAAAATACTGCAATGAAAATCAAAAAAATGATCTCATAAATGCACCAACTAGATGTAAAATTCTACAAAAAAAGTATCCGTGCCGTTGTTTCATTCTAGCTGGATTTCTGGTAGAAATGATGCGAATAAACAGAAAATAAATTTTAAAAAAAAACCGCACACATAATAAAACATGATTTGGTATTATTTTTAGGTCAGTGAACACTACTGCCGACGTATTACAATGACAATCAGCCAATCTAGCGGCAACTCATAAAATAATGTATATAATATATTATTAGTAGCCGAACAGACCGCGACACTAGGATTTTTGACCGGTAGGATTTTACTACATTCGGTTTTTTTTTTTTTGTACTATAACTCTGGAAAGAAAAAATGTACAACTCGCAGAGAAAATGCCAAAATGGTAATATAAAATCGAATACGGTATTATTATATTAAAAGGTATAATAATTTTACAACTTTGAAAATACACTCGGCTTGATCGTAGTTTATTTATTTAATTTCTCTCTTAAAAATGTCCATTAACGAATTATAAATTAAGTGTTCGATAATAATATTATAAGTCTAAACTAAACTGTTATGCGCTCAACGTCAATAAAATTATAGAAGTAACAAAATAAAAAGGTCACCGCGAAAATGCGATACTCATTATCATAATATTACGTCATAAAGATATAGTATACTACTATATTATTCTTTATTCTGTTAAAAAATGTTCAGATCATTTGAAACTATAATTATTATTATCATTTCGCTAGTTGTCTAATCTGACTAATTATAAAACAAATTAAATTATAATAACTACAATATAATTTATTGTTTTCCTTGAAAATTAAAATATTCTTACAAATTAAATTATTTATTCTAAAATTCGATATGACGTTTACATGGGCACTAAATGGATACATGGGTACATAACACGACTGTGGTTGTTTTTTTTTTTTTTGTATAAATATTTATAATATTTATATTTAAAAAAGATATGGAATTACGAACATACTTCTCACAATTGGTAGGCCATTGTTGTAAGTGAGAAGTTGGAAAAGTATAGGACATAGAGGTGTGTTTAACCATTTATTTATTTATTACGAAAATCCCTGAGAAAATTAGGGAAAATTAAAAATTTACGTTTTTTCCGGTTTTTTACATTTGTTAAGAAAACTTCTGAGAAAATCAAATTATGACCTCGCTAAATTACACCTAAATCAGATTTCCTTTCAAAAAAAGTTTTACATTTGAAAATTAGAATACAATTTCTGATAGAAAAGATTTTCACAGAAAAATAATAAACACCATTGTAAAATCAATAAATTTCCTACTCCGCTCAAATTTAAAATATATGAGAAATATAATAGAATGAAAAATCGGAAAAAAAATTTATTCCGGAACCGGGAATCGAACCCGAGCCTCCTGGGTGAGAGCCAGGTATCCTAGCCACTAGACCATACCGGACGACGACGAAATTTTAGAAAAAATTATTTTTTTAACTAAACATATTTTTTTTGTTTTGCAAAATTCATATTGTCATTGTAAAATTGGATTCGTAAATAGGTACACATAAAATTTATCATTTTTTTAAAAACAATAATGATTTGCGTTAAACACAATAAGTATTTATTCTAGAAACATCAAATTATACTCACTTTAAACTCTAAATTCTTCGCGCGTCATTATCGAAAGACAAAAATTGTTTTATAAATCTTACTTATTCAAAATATTTAAAATGTAAATTTAATCTTATATTGTTAACTTTGACGTAATATAATTCAAAATTAGTTCATAATTTGATATTAAGCTATTAAGTAAATGAAAATAAATATAGTTTTTATAAATCAAAAATTAGAATGCTCAATTATAATCAGGGCCTGATTAAACCCAATCATATATGGTACATATTTGTTAACAGTCCATTGCAAAGTATTCTAAATTATAAACCTATACAATTTAAAATTATTATATTACTTAATACATTTTTATATGCTTAAATTTCAGGATGCTTTTTGTATTACTAAAAATAAAATAGCCCATGCCATTGCTTAGCCTTAGACATGTCTCTACCTCGATTATTTCCAGCCTTAATTTTTTTTTTAATATCATTAGATAAAATAAGTTTCTGCAATATTTTAGAAATCAAAAGGTATAAGTATAAAGGTAAGTAAAGTTAAACGTAGGTAGGTAGGTAAATAATTCTACGATAATTTATTAAAATAAATAAACATACGAAGGAAATTCTTTGATATATTTCGGTAGATACTATAATTATACATGTGTAGGTAGTAAATCGTTTCAACGCTTTTGAAAAGTTTCAGTAAGTAGTTCCTACTGAAAATCCTGTATGAGTAGGTATGCAGAATACAAATTATCACTAAACTCAGAAATCCACAAATGTCTGAAACTTATTCCATATTAGAACAAAGAAAATAGGTAGTATAATATGTTTTTATACGAATTAAATATCTGATTTATTCTAAATAGAAATTGCCAAGTACTTACTTATACACAAGTATATACAAGTATATACATACTTCAAACTTCTTACCAGTCTGTATATGGGATAATGTGTTATTTCCTGCCTATCGATCAGCTATATATGCATATAACTTCGAAGTAAGTAATGTGGGAGTACCTATCCCGGAAACATTAAAAACCTAAATATATCGAAATCGTTTGAAAATAGAATTTTAATCGTCTATATTGTAATCCCTGCCATCAAAGTGCTACGAATTAATAAGGTTTCTTCCTCGTATGATTTACCATACAGATGTCTTCTTTTACTTTCGATGATCACCTACATATACCTACCAATATATCTACCCTTATTAAATACAAAATATTATACAACGTTTCGAATTCTTATTGCCACTTACAAAAAGGAATTAAAAAATGGCGTTTTAGGGAAACGTAGTATTTAGTTTTATGATTGAATAATATAGAAAAATTTTTATAGAAACTAAAAATATTCCAATTTTTCAAATAATTACTTAACTTTACCAATATACTTATTAGGTAGTTCAATAGCTTCACCCCTTCCCCTACCCTCAAAAAAGTAGTATGTAGACAAATAATAACATAAAAATAAGTATTATAAAATGTGTAATAAAAAAATAATATGTTTGTTTGCTAAAATATATAGCTACTTAAATATTAAGTAATAAATAATGTATCTACATACATTTCTACATTTCTAAAGAAAAAATTTAAAATTAAAAAAAAATTTCTCAGCGTCATTATTTTAATGTGACGTCTCACTGTGACTGGATTTATAAAATATTTAACTGTTTCATCTATAAAATATACAAGGATGATATCATGTCAACATATGGTTTACTATAATCAGTTTCACGTCGGGTTAAAAAGATAAATATTTATGGTTTTTACGATTTTACAATATCCACTTTATATAGGAATTTAGAGTCGGTGTATACGTATAAACGATGAAAACTTAACAAAAACGTAAAACCTTTGTTCGTGAATGATGAGTTGAAAAGTAAATTCCACAAAATATTTGTGATACATAATTAAGAAATCCAAACGAAAAGTGTCCATCCTATATCGATGAAATAGAAAAGAAGCTTAGAACATTAAGAATGAAAATAAATGAAAAAGAACCAAGATGGATTTGCACAAAGAAACTACTAAAAATAGTAACCGAAATAAGGTTTAGATAACCACAAGCTCAACCAAGTTAGTGATTTTCCATATCATGGCAGCTAAATTACAACAGATGGTTACAATAGAAGGACATTAGAGAAAATAAAGACTGATAAAAAATGTATTCAATAAAAAATCCAAAATATGCACATCCACTAAATTAAACCTTAACATTAGGAAAAAACGTGTCAAAACATATCCTGGAGCATAGCGCTTTACGGTTATGAATCTTGGTTACAAATGAAACTGAATGAAAGCACTGGATAATGGTGCTGGAGACGCACATAAAGAATAAGCTAGATAGAACGTGAAGTAGTCAAGATGCACGAGAAACGATCATTAATAGAACACCATTAGAGTGAGAAGATAGGAAATGGTAGGACGTACACTTAGACAGGTAGAACACGATTGCATACGTTTGTCTTTTTTGACAACAAAATTGCATATGTTTTTCGATAGATTAAAGAACACTAAAAAAAAAATTATAAGATCAATACGATTGCGTACGAATTTGTATGCAATTTTGTCAAATGTATACATTATATACTCAATAATTATCCAGTAAAATACTTTTATCTAAATTGTAGAATATTATTACTAATAAAATACCTAAATTTTAATTTTTGAGCATCTATAACCTTATATTTTCAAATATTGCAATACATTTGTATGGATTTTATACTAAGTCTTTATAATATTTTGAATTTGAATAAAATATTTTTTACTATTTTCTTTATTTTCCCGTTATTAATTATAAAATCGGTATTGTCTATTATAATTTAAAAATAAATATTTTCCTTTTTTGAATTTTATAAGTTTAATAGACTTTTTGATACTACTAAACGTCGATAAAATATACACACGTGTAATGACTAACGACGAACTAAAAGGCAAAAAATATTTATATATTTTAAATATTAAAATTTACAGCATACTAAAATGTTATCATTAACAATAAAAGTTTAGAGAAAGCGAAAAATATTTATGCATTTTTTCTAGTTCACTCATGTATAGTTTACCGGTATGAAATTGGCAACAACGCTTGAAATTTCATTTGCAATAATATGACCAAAAATTAAGTAACGTCGTACGAAATCGTGTAGCTTACATGTGTAGCAAACATACGCAATCATGTTTTATCCCATTTAGACATCCAGAAGGACTTATAGTACATTAATAAAGGGCATAGTTGAAGGAAAACGATGTTCACCTGGACACAAAAAAAAATGGCGAAACAAAAACTGATAATTGATAAATTAACTGCAATTGGCAGATTTGTGACGGATATGAATCGGAATCGGTAACTCAGACCCTAATCGAATTTCTGAAAACCACACAGATTTACTTTTTGAAGAAAAATTTAAATCGGTTTACGCTGTTAAATGTCTTGAATATTAGTACAGTAACGATTAGTATACTATTACGGTTTTATACTTACATATAATAAGTATATAAGTTGACTAGATATTACGTACCCCCTTCAATATATATTACCATTGTAAGGTCTTTGGTCAATACAACCACTATGCAAGAGACGGCAATTCTGCACTACTATCATCATATAAACTCCGTCCGCCGTCAGACGACGTAACAAAACCAACCCTACGGTCAAATATATTCAACAGACTATATTTTATATTTAACGTGTCATCCCCGGCCACATTACAAACCTATCGTTTTTATGATAATTATTGGTTATCATGCAGGTTTTAGCGATTATAATATTTTATAGAAGATTACAAGAGCGTAACTCGTCACCTAAATCGGTTAGACCAAGCCGAACACAGCTGTCAGACGATAATATTACAATACAGCTTATTCATCAAAAATCGAGGTTTTTTTTCTTAAATAAGTCGACCGAAAAAAAAAATTGTTACAATAGTATAACGTCCGCGAATACAATTTATAAAGAAATATCAACAGCGACGAGATAAATTATATCCAGAAAGCAATAAAAGTGCACTAATGGTACTATTACTGATATTACTACCCCATAATGACCTGCGCACAAAGTCATTATTCGTTTATATACCTATATAAAACGTATTAGGTATTATATAGGCACTTTTAAAGTTTATCCATTTTACGAAACACCTTTTATATATAAACGTCTTATCCTATATTATAAAACTGCAGCGTATGCAATGAATGTTACTTACTTTTATCATATATTATAGGAACCTATAATGTAACCTAACTAATACTATTATTATAATATGATCGAATCGTACACTTTGGAATATTGCTCGATAACGTATATAAGTGTAACCGTGACATAAATGGGTTTTAGGCTCAATACCGAAAAATCATAATTATATATAATATATTATATAAAAATACGGACATATACGGCGCCTAAATATAAGGCGGATAAATATAACGAACTAATCATTGCAATTAATTGAAATGGGCACATCCGTTTATCATACGTTTTAAGCATTTCTTCTATTTTATTCCTTCTCCCATAAAATGTCACCTATTGGCTCCCATGTTTCGACTTAGTATGTGTTGATTTTATAATTTAATTAATTTTTAACTAAAATATGAATTTAAAACTCTTATAAGGAAAAAGATTAAAAACCGTAATACAGATTTTCGATATTTTTCATAGTGACAAACATAACACTTACGAAGAACCTAGTGCCTATCAAATTATCAAGCATTTTTGAGAATTCAAACACATTTTATTCACATCAATCGAAAGTTAATACTCGTATAATATTTTCACTAGATTTTGATCTACATTTAAATGTTTTTTATTATTTGTATAACTATTACAAATTCCCAGAATCGTTTTTCTATTGCGTTAGTTTATCAATGACGATATAATATATTATAAACTTAATTTTATTCGTACGGATTTCGTCGGTGATAAACCGATAATAAATAATATACAAGTCACACACAACGACGGTGAGTTGTCGTATACTATAATGACACTAACATAATTCGAATTTCGAATGGGTACACAAATAACTTTAATATTTTACATATTTTAACAAGTAAATATTAGCGAAATAC